TATATATATATATATATATTATATCACCTATTTCCTTATGGAAAAAGATCACTTATAGGTAGTCTTATTACTGATAGTGGAAATAAAGATTAGAGCAAATTTTCAAGCTGAAAAACAAGGCAAAATAGACATCTTCAACAAGCCACTTGAAAAAAACCAAGTTAAGTGAATAAATTACAATCCTTTAAATAACAATTACAATCATTTCTAGCCTTGTATAACCATTATAAATAAACTCAAATACCAACCCCTTATGGGGAAATTACATATAAAGCAAGATTAGCTTATGAATTACACTTTCATAACACAAATTACATAAACTATGTCTCAAAGCTTAAATACATCATACAACTAATCTAAAAAAAGTTCTAATGAATAAAATCAACCAAATAGGGAATAAAAATGCCAAATTAAAATAGAGAAATCATGTTTCGAACCCCTTTTGCTGGGCCCCTATAAAGACTTAATTTTATCCTTTCGAAGTGTACAAAAGTGGTTCAATCTCACAAGAGTATCTAATCCAAATGGGAAGTAATTATACACCTTAAAATCACTTCTTAAGATCTCAATACAATGGTATTATCATCCAAAACAGAATGCAAAATTTTTTAATCGAATCGGATAAAGAACAAGAGAGTTATGATCAAACTACACACAGTGGTCCCTCGGAGCACTAAAGCAATCTTGTATAGAAAGATTATGAACCCCCATAAGTACAAACGTGATGAAAAGTTTTGGAAATAGAAATTATTTAATGGGTTTGAAGCAAAGCAATCAATAGATACTATGCTTGATCATGGATTCTCATGCATATAGGCTATAACTTATGAAGGACCACACTATGAATAAGCATGATGAAAAACATGATCAAATGGGGATTCTAAGATCAATGAAACTTTTTTAAATTCAAAACTCCAGCAACTATAGATGCCAAGAATGTGATCTTATGATAAAAGAAAATTCAATGGAGTTACCTTGATAAATGCACACCATGGACTTAAGCATAAGATAGGATGACCACCATCAAGATTACCATTAATGAAACTCTAAAAGCTCTCTCTTCAATTTTCTCTTATAAAACCTTAGAAGAAGGAGGGGAAATTTTTTTTTCCAAAATGGTTCAAGAGTTGAGATACTTAGGGTTTGAGACCTCATGATGTGCTTTTATAACATGGGTGTAACCTTAAACTCAATCATCACCCTTGATGCACAAATTCAAAGGCACATGAGAGGCTAATGTACCTAGCCACCCATCTCCATTTTGTTCTTGGCCCACTTTTTTTTTCCAATTGTATCCAACATGGCCTTACAAAAGTACCTTTAGTTTTTTTAATAATGTATTAGAGTAGAAAATCACAAAGGTTAAGGGGCAAAGAAGAAATTGGTAAAGCTCACACATGGAGATATTCTACTTTATCAAAGCCAATCACTATGTAGATCTAAAATTTCAATCCAGTCAATTTAAAGATAATGTCCCCTTAACACATGTGTATGAAGATATTTTTCAACTCAAATTTGAAAATGAATTTTCTCTTTAATATCAAATAAATAAAATTAATTAAGCTCCACACATGTTGTGGATGACCCATGTGTGAGTTAATTAAGACAAGTGATAAAAATAGGGCCTTAAGTTATAACATTATACAACAAAATATAATAATATATGACAAGACACTATCACAGAACCCTTTATAAAACAAGAAACCAATTGCTAATTTGGTCCCCCGCCTAGTGTTCCGCATCCAGCTAGGTGGTGATCTTAGAACAAGGTGTGGAGTGCCACATGGCAGCCCTATGGCCACTCGAATGCCACATGGCACTTCCAAGTCAGGATTAAAGTGGAATTTTAGTCAAATAATTTGAAAAACATCATTTTTTTGGCAAATAAAATTCTGAAAATTTCTCTAAAATTTGTAATAAATATTTAAAGTATTTTTGAGCAATTATTAGGTTTTCCTCATCATTATAAAATCGGACAAAAAATATAGTGAGATCTCAGGCTAATAACTACAAGTATCGGAGTACGCTATTGGGCTAGTCCCGAATGATGTTCCGCCGAGTCTCAGATAGACCCAATAGACCTATGTTCCACAATCTAAAGCAGAGATACATAATTGGCCATATCAAAGCCGCTGAACCAGAACTTCTGATCATTCAGCTCTCAATGGATTATAGATGTACCCCTTATGGGAAATGATCTAACTCAATTATAGGGGTCCTCTCAAAGTACATGTGCATTGGCTCTTCCAAACTCGGATAATGCATTTGGAAGAGTGGCTTCCCCGTACGAAATAAAAATGCACATACCATGTTATGGTTTCGTGTCAGAATACAGACTTATGTCCCATAAGTCGTGACCATTTCGTACAGGACGAATACTCAATAAGTATTCGAGTTCTATTTTTCTCGTTTGGATTCTCCAAGCCCTGGTCGATCGCAGCTAAACATGAGGCTAACCTATAAAATCTTGACTAGGAGGTGACCTTTACACCTCATTGAGAAATTGTTTTCTCAATACGTGAACTCTCGTTGTTTCATGCATACTTGGGGTAAAAGAATCTGGGCTCTATTTCGCTAGACGCCAAGATTTCAATATCTCAATTACTCCAACTGAATGAGAGACTACTGGAATTTAGGCCTTGATAGGCCGTATTTCCAATATTCTCCCACTTGGCCTTTTTAGGCATGAATTCGTATATCTCTCTCTCATTATCATTCACCATAAATCAAAGCATGCATCCATGGATTTATCATTCACAAAGCAATAGACAAAGTAATAACAACTATATCAACTTCCTTAAACCCATCCCATGCACATGCCTCACAAAATCATTTGCCCCCAAGCCTTTGTTTAATGGATCTATATGCATAGCCTCAAATGAAATGTAACCAACTTTTACTTCATCAGCTACTATCTCTTCTCTTACTCTATGATATTGAGCTTTAATGTGGCTTGACTTGCTATGGAACCTTGGTTCAACTACCACTGCTATTACAGTTTGATTGTCACACATGATTCTAATAGTTCCATGTTTAAGAGGGTTGAAGTTAAGATGATTCAAGAACTTCTTAATCGAAATGGCTTCTAAAGTTGCGGAATTTAATAAAGAAATAGATAGTCCCAAGTTGATCTCAAATCATCTAGGTCTCCTTGATAGTGGGAATCTGTGTATCTTAAACTTTAAGCTCACTCACATTGCCATAGGTTAATCGATAATCAAATGTTTCTTGCAAATACCTCATGAATCTTTTCATGGCTTTCCAATGTTCTAATCTACGATCACTTTGGAATAGACCAATCAAGCCTTAAGCAAAAGCTAGATCGGGTCTAGTTCCTATGGTTAAATACATTAGTGATCCTATGGCACTCTGATACAGCATCTTTGCCATCTCATTTCTCTCAAGATGATTGTTTGGTTTCATATTGATATTTAATTATCATCTCCTTTCCACAGGTGTATCTATAGGCTTGGATTCACTCATACCAAATCTCTTAAGAACTTTCTTGCAATATGTAGATTGAGATAATTGAATAGTGTGGGCTGCTCTATCTCGTATTATATGAATCCCTAACACATACGAAGCCTCTCCCATATCTTTCATATCAAAATTACTTGATACCATTGCCTTTGTGTACCTTATATGATCTAGGGTGCTACTAGCTATTAGAATGTCATCCACATATAAAGTCATGAAAGTAATGCTAGTTCCACTGGCCTTATGGTATACACAATGGTCATCCTCATTTGGTTTGAATCCATATCTAATTAGGGTTTGATGGAACTTGAGGAACCATCTTCTTGAACTTCTTTGGGACCATAAAGTGATTTGTTGAGTTTGTACAAGGACTTTTCCTTTCCATTCACAATAATACCCTTGGGTTGGTTCAAGTATATATCCTCTTCTAGGTCACCTTTTAAGAAGACGGTTTTCACATCCATTTGATGCAATTTTAGGTCAAGGTAGGCTGCTATGGATATGATCATCCTAATTGAAGGCATTTTGGCAACAGGTGAATAAGTGTC